CCGCATCACCTCGACCGCCTGCTTGCGAGCCGCCTCCGGGAAGCGCTCGTGCGACTGCGGCGACCACTCCGCCGCCTTGAGGATCAGCCTGCCCACCTCCACCGCCTCGGCCGCTGGCTGCAGGTTGGCCGGCCTGAGGGAGGGCAGAGGCGTGGGGTGTGTCCAAAGAGAAGCTCCGGCGAGTCGGGGAGAGACCATTGCATTGCGGGCCTCAGTGCGAGTGCCTTGGCCTCGCCCGCCACGCGCACGCCGAAGCGGCCCGTCGAAGCGTTGGCGGAGACGACGACGCCGACCTTGCCGTTCATCGAGGGCCGCGAGACGAGAGAGCGGATTTCGACTGTAGAACCGACGGCCGCAGCGGTCGGATCCGACTCGCTCCACGAGCAGAGTAGGCGCGCCCGCTCGAGGGCAGAAGGCGCGCCGGCGAGTGGGTCAGCGCCGCGGCGCAGCAGCGCCCGCGCCCGGTCGACGGTGAGCGCCTGCGGAAGAGGTGCAATGGGCGTGAGGACAATGCTCTCACGCCTTCGGCCGCTAGTCTCAGGCACGCCTCGAGGTGCTGGAGCGGCATCCAGCCGCGGCTGGCGACCAGCCAGGCGGCGAGGTCGGCGTGGCCTTCTTCGGTTGCAATCTCCTCGGGCGTGCCGAAGGGCGTAGCGGCGCGGGAGGCGCCGTAGGAGGAGAGGAGCTTGGCGACGTCGACGTGGCCCTCCTGGCACGCGATGAATAGCGGCGTGGCGCCATCCTCTGTAGCTTGGTTGATCGCCGCGCTGGCCTCGACGAGCACCCGGACGATCTCGAGGTGGCCCTTCTGGCACGCCATGTACAGCGGCGAGAAGCCTCCGTCAGCAGCTTGGTCGACCGCCGCGCCGGCCTCGATGAGCAGCCTGGCGATTTCGGGGTGGCTGTTTTGGCACGCAATGTACAGCGGCGTAATACCGCCTGGCCTGGCCTGTTTGATCGCCGCGCTGGCCTCGAGAAGCAGCTGCACGCACTCGAGGTGGCCGTACTCGCACGCGATGTACAGCGGCGTGGCGCCTGCCTCGTCCGCCTGGTCATCGCGACGCCGGCCTCGAGAGCAGCGGGCCATATCGACGTGGCCCTCCTGGCACGCGATGA